CGTCATATTCTGTGATATGATTTACTCTGAGGTGCTTGACAAGGTTATGTTGTGATGTTGCCACAACCATATATGCCAACCCTCCCGATTTTTCCCGGGAGAATCCAGAATTTCAGTGCCCCTCCCGAAAGTCTCCCAGAGCCACCTTCTCCCGATTTCCCACCCGGACAACAAAATTGAAAAACAATATCGCCAAATTCATAGCTCAGCCCAGCCAGTTCCAGCTTCCAACAATGGCGGCAGCTACTTAGTTTTAATATTACTCTTATTTCTCTTTCTGGGTTGCAAAGCCTTTTCAGATGAAAACGACGTTTTCAAATCTATCCGGGCTAGTGTTGACGTAGCCTTAAAGACCGGATACCTGTGGGGACCAACAGTCACTTATGGGGAAAAAATGCCCATTCCCACGAGTTTAAAGGCATTTTTGAGAGTCAAAAACGGGGTTTTATTGTAAGGTTACAATTAGATTATAGGTAGGTTTAGGCCAAGTGTTAGGATTAGACATTCATTTTTGATGGTTCAGGTAAGTGGCTAAGGAAAGCATTATTTCAATGAGATGTCCTCACTAAGACATGAAAACTAGAGAAAGTTTGTGTGTGTGTGTCTGTCTGTCTGTCTGTCACGGTTAGCAGTGGTAAACCGTGGCGATGTGATGAAAGGAGGACCAAAATGCTGGACTCTTTGATGGCTGTGCGTTTATTTACAGTGATGTAAAAATCCAAACAACAATAAATCCCAAGTGCGATCTCGACTCCCATTCCATGTCTTCTCCCTACACCCGTGCTCTGTCTCCGTTCCCTGTGTACACTCTGTCTGCTGCTTCCTCGTTTCCCCAAATCCTCCTGGGAAACACACACACAGAGGCAGCCGTGAGTACCTTCAAACAACGGCAGACTAGCACTTGCTTTGCACATTTGCTGAGAAACTGATGGGAAGTCACTTAACGGTCCAGCGTCGAGAAGCTCTCAGCCACACTGCTTAGTAGCTCCCCCAATGATGCTTGATCAGCTGCAGGTGTGTGATCATTTCATCAGCTGTGGCCAGCCACCTGGCAGGGCACACCCACCAGGCCTGAAAACACCTGTAAACAGGTGCTCCCAGATATACCTGCATCCACACACGCGCACACACACGTACCTTTAAGCAGGGAGAACGAGGGACAGCAACACCAAAAGTACACATGTCTATAACTGCTCAGGGACCCTGGGTTGCTCAGACCCAGGACCCTGACATCATCACCTTTGGGAGCTGTAATAACCCAATCCTTATTCACAGGTGGCAACATGCTGATGCAGCTGATTGATGCACACACATGCACAAACACACACCATAATGTAATGTATAAATAAATAAACACATAAAGCTTTTCTGTTTAACAAACAGGGGTTTGAATGGATTCTCAGCAAAAGTTGCAGGAAGCAAGCTTTCAAAAACTTTAACTGAAGCACTCAGAAGATGTGATGTGATTTCCAAAGTCTTGCGAGGAAACAAATCCAGAACAAAATGATGGCTCCACAGCCTCAGGTAGAAGTCCACATACTCTGAAATGAGTGACGAGACACAGAGTTAGCTGTCAAACAGCGCCACTGTGCGGTCACAGGCCACATTTTATATTAAGAAGTAGCTGCATTTAAAATATTTATTTTTATGTTCATCAAATTCACAATTAAGTGGGCAAACATAAATTACTAGCTTGAGCATGCATTTAAACAAACATAAAAAAAATTAATAACAAACAAAAGCAGGTGATGACCGCTATAATGCAGCTATTAGCTGGTAATTAGATGCCAAAATGTGAAAGAAAATCATGTATGTTGACATAAACATAAACAACTCACTCACTCACGTGGAGTGATGTTTTCTCCAACAAAATGTGAAGAAAGCTGAAGTAGCAATATGAACACCATAGCCTTAAAAAAATATTTTCCTCTCGCTCTCAGGTGGATCTATGGCTTTGGGGTCACAGTACGAATTTAAAAATCATGCTGTTCAAGTCCTCCTCTGGTCGCCTTGTGTCCTTGGAAGGTAAGTGACCATGAAGTGGCTCTATCTATTTGCATTACACATGATGAAAACTGTAAATAGAAAGTGCCATTGGATGTGATAACTAACAATTTATCATGCTCACCGTTCAGTCTCATAACTCTGTGGCAATCAGTCTGTTCACATGACAAGTAGAAGTTAACTTGTGTTTGCTCCTTAGGCTACTCACAAGATGCCAGATTGAGAGGATGACAAACCACCATCTAAGGTTGGCTTAATAGTTCTGAACCCATGTAGTTCTGATGCATGTCAAAACAAATGAACCAAACTCACACACTAACCTTTTCCTTCTGCAGGTAAAGGAAAAGAACTTGAGCATCCATGAAGGATGTTTGTCTGCATGGTGTGTGCACTCCCAGCTGAACTAGTGGACAGATGTGGATTTGTTACACATAGGTAAATTTCTATTCCTGCCCATAAGCCCATGAAAAACTGGCTGCTTCTGTTATGATGAAATAATGAAACTGACAATGCTACGTTCATAGGAACAGAATCAACTTTTGGAGAATTACTTACCTGGATGATTGAGCATGCATCAAGACGACATTTAACAATATTTTATAATAAAGGCTGCAGTGTATTGTGTTTTATTACAAAAGCAAGAACTTAAAATTGCAAAGACTTTGAATACTTCATCATCTGAAACCTGAGACTTGGTGATGTACAGGATTCCTATACAGCAGGGGTAGACAACCTTTCTGATGGCGAGTGCCATTTA